CCAGCCGAAGGACTGTGCCATGACAGCCACACGTCTTATTAGCAGTTTTCTCCAGACCTCGTATTCACTGCCTATGGCTCGGTTAATTGCTTCTGTCTTTTCCCAGTGGGCTGGGCCCGTTGACTTCTTCAAGAAAGGCTTTCCCGTTGCTAAAGTTTTCTTTAATTTTTTCTCAATCCCGCTGGAGAATTGGAACATAGTTATACTGGCTGGAGGTTTGGAGATTCTCAGTGCAATGAGGGGGGCAGTTCTTTTTTTTTTTTTTTTGAGAGGTTTTTGCTATAGGGCGCATGTGTTCGCCAGAAAGAAAGAGACAGAGACAGAAAGCGAGAAATCACCCCCCAGGAGGGATGGCCACGCCACAATCCCTTCTCCTCCATTCTCTTCTTGGGATCTTGGGCACGCACGCACACGCGTCCAGAGTGAGTTTAAGCCACCGGGTCTGGGACTCAAACCGCGATCGGCTATATGGGAGTCCAGCGACATAGCCATCACACCAACTGCTGGTCCCGAGGAGGCAGTTCTGAATGAGAAGGTGCTTGGTCACATCCCCACAAGTCAAGGGAAGATACGGCCAGTTCACCTCCCCTAGGAGCCCACCCACCTCAAGCTGGACTTCCTCAGCTTCACTCGGCCTGTCCGTGGCTTGCACGCGTTCCTCTAGTTCACAGAGCACTGAATTCACACACCAGCCGCGCACACGGTTTGCTAAACTCAGGGAACTGGCTCCAACAGAGACTGCCTGAGACAGAGTGCCATCTTCCAACCACGGACCCTCGTAACTAGATCTTCCAGTGACTCCAGATGTCAGTCTCCACGAGGTCACGCTCCGTGCTACCGTGTATTCAGACTTCCGAGTGGTCAGGGTCCCCTCTTCTCCGGCAACGCGTCCAGTGCATGCGCTGCCTCCCCGGTTTCCCATCCGCAGCCGGTGCCTCAGCTTCTGCAGTGCCTGATTTTAATGTAAAATAAACTAACCGGCACGATGATGCTGCAGAACTGCAGTCTCCTGTGGTTTATTGATTGCATCCATAATTAAAGACATGCCGAATTTCAGCAAGAGGTTGGTGACGATGAGAATGTAACTTTCCTCCAATCCAGGTTTGCCCTGAGTCGTCCTGGACCCCCTGATCCTCTAGTTATGACTCCCTGGACTCCAGAGGGGAAAGTCAGTACAATTCTTTGTCTCCAGAGCCCAGTTCAATGGCCACACTTCAGGACATTGGGAACCACTGTGAAATTCAAGCACTTGCATATACGAGTCAAGGCAAAGAATGCTGACTCATGTTTGCACCTACTTCTTCAGACTTTCTGGGAAATCGAAATTCTAGGATCCAAAAGGAAAAAAAGAAAAGTAATCGCCACCTTAGTTTAAAAAAAAAGAAAAATCTACCAGAGGAGAGGAATGGAAACAAACTTTCCAGGACCTGATTAAAGGTTTAATCCTTGCAGAATCACCTAAGTACTGCCTGGCGTGCAGAGATGTGACTTACAGCTGTCTAGTTCTTTTCTTTTCTAGTTTGTCAGAGGGCACATGCACTTACCGGAAGTGGGGAGTGAGAAAGCACCCTCCATGGGGGATTGTCATGCAGCAATGCCTTCTCCAATTTTTCCTCCTTTAGGAATTTTGGGCGTGGACACACATATGCCTGATACGGTTTTTAAACCACCGGGTCTGGGGCTCAAGCCACACCATCAGTAGAGTGGGATCCAGCCACCCTAACCACCACACCCCCAACAGGCCCCCAGCTGCCTTTGTAGAGGTGTAGAAATGACAAGCTTATTTTCATTCTTATTAATGAATAATACTATTAAGGCTGGCCCTGTAGCCTAGGGAGCCGGGTCCCACATGGCTGGTCAAGGGTCAAACCTTGGCCCCTGTGGCTTGGAAAACACGTTGGGTGCTTGTGCCTGTGTGTCCCAAATCCTGACAGTATGGAGGAATGGGAAAGGCATGATCACACACAACTGGGGGTGAGGGGTGCTTCCCCTTTCCTCTAGCAGGTGCATGCACTCTCTGGCAATTAAAAAAAGAGTACCATTAAATTTTGCACACAGTAAAATATCTAAGTAGGCTGAGGTTATCAAATACAGTGCCTTAAATTTGGAATATTGAGTACCAACAGTTGGTGTAATGGCTACATCGCTGGACTCCCATGTAGTTGACCGTGGTTTGAGTCCCGGACCTGGTGGCTTAAACTCACGCTGGGTGCATGTGCATGCCATTCCAAGATCCTGAGAGGAGAATGGAGGAGAAGGGATTGCGGCATGGTCATCTCCTCTGGGGGGTGATTTCTCGCTTTCTGTTGCGTTCTCTCTGGCTAGTGCACATGCCCTATAGCCAAAACTTCTCAAAAAAAAAATTGAACCATTAAGTGGTGGGAAAAAGTCATGATGCATTTTTGCATAGGAAAACACATCATGCCTTTTCCCCTGACCGAATAACTGCCACCCTCTGGATGTATGTCCATCCCCACTTGATCTCTCATAAGTGACTCAGCTTTGCAGGCACAACGTCTTCCCCAGGAGGCATCCCAGAGATGCCTACCTGAGATTTAAATCTCCACAGGTGGGGTTCAGTTCCACCTAGGAACTACGAGAGCTGCCCCCTGGGCAAGCAAGCCCTTCTAAGCCTGGGTCTGCACACGTGCACGCGGGAATGATGGCACGGCCCCTCTGGGAGGACTGGATGAAGAAAGGCACAGGCTGCACTCGGCAGTGTCGGAGAGGCCCTCGGCCAGCACCTACTAGCAGCCGGCGGACGTGGTTCTTGACCAGATATGTTTTTTTTTTTTTTTTTTTTTTTTGATGGTGATAAAAGTGACAAGTATGTCATCAGTGAAGATACCTTGGAGAATACGAAGGCACGTAAGAGGCTGTAGATGCTCACCTCAGCCCAGCTTGGGCTGGCCCCCTTGGCACAGGAACAGAGGCACGGCATTTACGGAGTGCGGTGGTTGTAGCACTCAGGTCCTGCATGGCCAACGGTGTGGTGTGAGTCCCAGACAAGCTTGAGAAACAGCCCAGATGTGTGTGCCTGGGCCTCAACTCCCGAGAGGGAGAAACGAGGGAGGGGCAGAGGTCTCAGGGGCCTGACCATTGCCCCTGGGGAGGGACGGGTTGTCAGCTTGCTTTCTCTCTCTCTCTCTCTCTCTTTCTCTGGTGAGTGTGCATGCCCTCTGGCAAATAAAAATAAAAATAAAAACAAAACCTTTCATTATTGATCTGGATCTACTGTACCATCTCGAGGAGTAAAAGAAATGTTTGTTTAAATTTAGAGAAGAAAAACAAAAGGGGCCTTGAACACCCTGGGAGGTTCTATTCTAGAAATCTGGAAGAAGAAAAAGGCCTGTTATTTCACAACATAGTGGAAATTACAGAAGCCCAAGCTACCAATTGTTACATAGTAATGAATAAGGGGAGGCACCCCCCTGGCTGCCTTATGATGCAGGGCAGACTTGAGCTTAATTGCTGGTGTACGGGGTCCAAAGAAATAGTGCAGGGAGTTAAAAAAATTATTTAGTTTTACTTATTTTTTATTATTTAAAAATGTTTGCTATAGGGCATGTACTCTCACCAGAGAAAGTGAGAAAGCAAGCCACCAGGTCTGGGACTAGAACTATGGTCGGCTACCTAGAAGTCCACCACCTTCACCACCTCACCACCTGCTGGCCCCCAGGGAATGGTTTTTAATGTGTCCTTTAATCTAGAGACCAAGTTGCTTTCCAAATTCAAAACACAAATTGCTATAGTGAGTACTGCCATCACTGCTGTTCCCACCGTCTAGACTGGTGTCTGGCTGCTTCTCCCCGGCTGTGTCCCGAACTCAGGAGCAAAACCGTAATGGGTCCCACATTTTCTGAGTGATGTAACCTGTCCCTGAACTTGGTTACAATATCTGGAAATGGGGCCACCCTCAAGTGTGCGGTGTGGGCAGATCCCTCCAGGGCAGGTGTGGGCGGACCCTCAGGGCAGGTGTGGCCGGATCCTTCTGGGCACCTGCGGAAGGGCGGAATAGGGACCCAGGCACCCGCGGGAACGTCCATGCGACGCCACCGTGATCCTTTGTCCCGACTCCAAGGTCGGGAGACAGGCGCTACAATCGGGGCTGGCTTTCCTCGTCCGCCTTCGGACGACCCCCATTAGCATCTGAGCCCCCAGAACGCGGGGCGGGGAGGAAGAATTCGGGGCGGGGAACTCGAACTCGCCGCCCGGCCAGGCCTATTCGCATGCGTTGTCGCCTTCCCCTGGGAAAGGTCGATGGGTCACAGGCAGGCGCACGTCCCCTCGCCCGCTGCGGTGACCGCGGCCCAGCTCCCGCGCTGTCCTCGGGTACGCGGGGCTCCCCGCTCAGCCCGGCCCCGCCCCGCCCCGCGCGCAGCACCGCCCCGGACTCCCGAGCCCGCCTCCCCGCCGGGTGCACAACTGTGTCATGACTTTCCC